CCGGTGCTAAACTGGGACCTAGTTTGTGTGAGATCTAGCTTGGCTAAGTTCCGGAATTTGTAAAAGAAGTTGTTGTTGCCTATTTGTCCAGCCATGTTATGTAATGGAACACAATGTGTTCCTTTTAAAAAAATCATCTAGATTAGCCGAGTTGTGTTCTACTTGTACACAGATATGAGCAACCCGAATTGAATGGGTCGACCCCGCCTAGCACGGACACACCTTTCTCCCTGCACAACTTCTACGGGTCCAACAACCACTTGGGCTCGAAGGTCACGGACCCTTCCAAGGCATGGATCTGGAAGACGGCCTCCATGTCAGCATGTGCACCCAGTGATCTCCTTCACCCCACCGGTGTTCATGTGCACTCCAACCAACTAAACTCTTTTGCTCCTCAGTGTCTCTATCTCCTCAACCGGCCATTGTTGCAGCTGCTTCCCGTCGCCGTTCAGCCAAACCTTCCTTGGAATAATCTATATGTGCACATCATAGGCGATTGTACAAGTGGAGACCTTTTACAATACATCATCAACTATCCAACCATACGCAGGAAAAAAATCACCTCAACATGCGAACATTCACTGGAATTTCAATTCTACCATGCTACATATTTTACAACTACCAAATAATCAAACACAATAAGTCAAATGTATTTTTAGGTTTAGTTCTCATATTGTTACTTCAAATATTCATGTTGCATGCAATCAAACCATATTGAAATGTATTGCAAAATATTCCGCAACAACGTGAGAGGTATCATCTAGTGGTTCTAGACTACTGAGGCAAAACTATGTGTAGTCGGGGGGCGGGGGGGCATTGCCCCCAGCCTTTGATCAAATTGTGAAGGAAAAAATTAGGATGGTTTAGCTTGGGGGGAAATAGTCTTTGTCCCACACCAGTGATCTCCTTCACCCCACCGATGTTCATGTGCACTCCAACCAACTGACGACCGACTCTTTTGCTCCTCAATGTCTCTACCTCCTCAATTGGCCACGGTCGCAGCTGCTCCCCGTCGCCATGCAGCCACAACTAACAGTCTGCATGTGCACGCCATATGCAATTATATAAGTAGGGACCTTTTACAGTACATCAAACTATCCAACCATGCATAGGAAAAAACACCTCAACATGTGAATTTTCACTAGAATTTCCATTCTACTATGCTACATATTTTAGAACTATCCAATAATCAAACACAATAAGTCGCATGCATTTTTAATTTTAGTTATCTTATCGTTACTTCAAATATTCATCTTCCATGCAATTAGATTGTATTGAAATGTATTGTAAAATATTTCGCAACAACGTGCATGGTATCATTTACTATATTAAGGAACACGAACCCTTAATAAAATACCCTTACAAAAATTGGAAAGTGCATTCAAATCCTTAGGGTGTCGAAGTACCAATCTTATTAATGCAAGCTCGAACGTTACATGGTAAAGTAGGTCACCGCATTATTTGAAAAATATGGAGCATGTCAATTTTCTAAGAAGATTGAGCATGATGATTATTTGTTGAATTAGTAGGGAAAAAGATCACCATTGGACACGGTAAAACCTCTTGCAACCCGAGCAAGCGATTTGATTGGTTTTCAACTATTGCACTCAAGAGTGGACGTGGATACAAATTGATACTTGAGATCGAAGATGACACATTATCTTTGTGTAACACCGGTTCATAGGACATGAAGTTTGTGCTCGCGAGCTCCTATGCTCCCTACAAACAGTAAAATCTTATTTTAAAAAAGTTTAAAAATCAACAAAAAATCATTTTTTTAGCAAACATCAACAAATTCTCAACATGTGTGAAATTTTTCATGAAGAAACAATATTCCAAAATGAAACTTTGTTTTTAGGGAGCATTTCGGAACATCTTTTATTCATGAAACTTTGCGCGCATGTAGAAGATTCGTCAATGTTTGTTTCTACTATATTCTTTTTGTCGAATTTACTGTCCAATGAGGATGCATATGAGCTCGCGAGAAGGGCACTTCCGCGACTCAGGAGTCATTTAATTTTTATTTCTTATTAAACACATGGAGCATGTAAACTATCCGTTGAGCTTTTTTACTCATGGTTATTCGTGGACTTATTTAAATCTAGATTTTTTTGCGAGGATAAATCTAGAAATTTCTAACAAATAAACTATCCTCATATGGGTAGGGGCATGTGTGTGCGCGCGTCACAGTGACGAGTGTATGCACGTGTTTATGAGCAACTCTGATCGTGCTATATGCTAAAAAAAGAATAAACCATTCACTTCCAACAATACACATATAAACCCTCATGTGTCCGAGCAAAAGTCTCCGATAATCACCACGTGTTTTCGTCCACCGCATTCGAGAGCGGGTCTAGCCATCAAAAAAGAAATACTCGCAGCCGAATACGACACCTTGTTTTATTCTAACATAACACCGTCCCATTAATCCTTTAGTTTTCTTTTCTAATTTGTTGGCGTTGGGCCGGTGCAATGTAATCCATCGTCGTCGTCGATTGTAATTATAAGATGTACTCCCTCTGTAAATTAATATAAGAACGTTTAGATTACTAATGTAGTGATTCAAATGCTCTTATATTACTCCCTCCGTTCGGAATTACTTGTCTCGAAAATGAATGTATCTAGAACTAGTTCTAGATACATTCATTTTCGAGACAAGTAATTCCGAACGAAGGGAGTAGTTTACAGAGGGAGTATGTATGTATAGAACTAGCTCATCACATCACAACTAGCTCGAACACGCCAGTGATCCCCACTATGTTGCCGATAAGGCCGAACTTGCTCTATAGCTTGTGCGCTGACGGCGACGGCCATGTTTTGCACAAACCAACCAACTGCCGACGATCCCATACGGGAAACAGCAGCATCACGAAATACGGGTGGATGGAGCGAATTCGTGGGCCGCTGCTGGACACGAGGTTAGCAGCTGAAACAGTGATTAGAAAGTGTTCCTGTCGCGTGCTTGGACAAATGCATACTCCCATTTATGTATGTGGGCTATTACATACGTGTTTTTTTACTTGTATTTGTGTACGGTCTTGGTCAGTAGGGGGGCCATGCCCACTAAATGCGTGAAAGCCAGATTTTTTTTTTTGGGGAGATGATAAAAGAGCCACCTGCATGTTGGATGGGGAATTAAATTTAGGTTTGGGAAAAATGGAGAAAAGGCTGGATTTGGAATTGACTCCAGCCTACGAAATGGACAGTTTGGAAGAAAGAGTGTGACATGGGGACATTGGCTTGCCCAACTTTGCGAGGTATTTCGATCACCACACTTGAGAGGGAGGGGCCCCCACTAACATGTGTCTCATGTTTATTAGATGCTAATTCTTTCTTTTCTTTTAATTTTAATAATTTCTTAGCACATTGAAACAATAGGGTTTTTAGCTGTTGACACCTGGACAGCCACATTTTACTTTCCTGCACTAATAAAGGAAAATAATTAGTAGATTTATTGCAGGGAATTAATTAGTTGATTTTGGATGTTGCATATATTTGCCTCAAAGGGTTTGTAGGGAAATACAGGCTGGACATTAGCACTCTAAATATATTTAAAAAGGGATGTGATTCGACGCGTTAATTTTTTTAATGAGTGATAACCATGATAAATTCAAGAAAATCTTGTTTTTTGGGGTATTTATTAAGTAGGTAACGCGATTATATTTTTAAATCATATTGGTCGTGATCAATAAGTTTCTGCAGCCATATCCACAAGAAATGAGTACAACTAGGGAAAGGCGTCCTTTTCCCTGGGATGACAAAGTCTGTATGCCACATTGACTAATTCCTTTCTTTTTGGTGATGGAACAAGGATTTTACATGTTTGAAAAATATCACATATGCATGTCACTGTAATCATGTAACTATGTCTTTGTGTGTCATTCTTCCATAGGAACACCTAAACTATACATATGAAAAACAAAATCTTCACATATGGTGGCAAAATAACCAAAACACTATATGCAAAATATATTGTTTTCATGTGTGATCTATAAGAAATGGCAACAACACAATTTCCTATAAGAAAACCAGCAAAAATCAAGATTAGATAGGTAAACATATTTTGCAATGGTGCTTCTATCTTTACATCCTGGGAGTGATTTGTCAACATGGCAAGGACATTTTATGATATACGTGGAAGTGGCTATACCACCCAGACGCTCCGCAGACATTTCAAAGGAGAAAATGATTTCTGAATAAACCACAAAACTACCGGTGTCCATTAAAACAACGTTGTTGATTTGAAATATAACGAAGAACCCCTTTTCAATGGTAGTATGTCTTATTTCAAATATCAAAAATAAACCCATCGACACGACAAAAACAAGCTACGGAAACGTGTGGCGACAGCTGCACCGCTCGGACCTTTCGCCGAAAGAATAAAACGGCTTACACAAAAGCCACAAAAAACTTGGTGTTATCATGCACAGTCCAGACACAGACACGATGTGACTGACAAAAAAAATGGAAAAGACCTATTTTGCTCCCCCATTTTGTTGCTGCGAGAAAATTGTGGCTTTTGATAAAGCCTTTCCAACGGGGGGCGCCGTGCTGGCGCGTTGCAATTGCAACCTAGCGGGCGAGAGAGAGAGAGAGAAAAGGGTTCCAGAGCGGCAGCCCCCCAACCCTCGCCCCCCCTCTCTCTCTCCCCCCCTACGCTGGCTGCTGCCGCTGCAGCCTAAAGCAGCGAGCCTTTCCACCTCTCCTCGCCACCCACACACCACCGCCACCACCCCGCCTCGGCCTCGGCTGCGGCGCCCTGCACGTGTCTCCGCCTCGCCGGAGCGGGAGCGGCCGCCGCCGCCGCCGCCATGTCCGGGCTCTACGGCCAGCAGGGCTTCTCCCCTTCCAGGAACCTGTCTCCCCAGATTAGAAGCAACCCAGATGTCGATAGGTAGAGGCGGCGCCTGGATTTTCCTTGGCTTCTTTGCTTGCTTCTTGGCCAATTCGTGGTGGCAAGATTGCTTTTTTATTTATTTATCGCGTGTGCTGTTTTTTCTTTTCTTTTCCTGTTGGGTTAGGTTTGCTTGATGAATGGGGATGGTGATGTGATTGCTCTGTGATTAATGGTTTTGTGCAGCCAGTACCTGGCCGAGCTGCTCGCCGAGCACCAGAAGCTGGGGCCTTTCATGCAGGTGCTGCCCATATGCAGCAAGCTGCTGAGCCAAGGTGAGATCTCCTGATCTCCCCCTTTTTACTGTTCTCTCTGCAGGCTGATGTGATTTTCCTCTGTTCATGCACGGGAGTGGTGTTGCTCTGCAGCCATGGATAGGGAAGTACATACATGGCTGAAGGGCTTGGATAGCGCCCGCTTTAGATTAGATGGCATTCGTTGCTGCTGCCTGCTTCGTATGGTCTCTGGTGCATTCACTGCTTGGATGACACTCTGTTTTCGTTTTGTACATGCTGCGATGTTTTCATTCGTCGGGGCGAGATTAGATGATTGCAGTTATGCGCGATAGTGTTGATCAATCCTTCTGCTGCAATCTATGTTTGCAATGAGGTAGATCAATCTTCTTCTTGACTGACATATGGTGGTTGATTGCTGTTGGAAACTTGTCTGGTATCTTAGCAAATCATCTCATCATTGGTGAGAACCATATGTCTGATTTAGGGTTCATCTTTTTTTTTTGTGTGTGTGTGGTTTATTTAGGGTTCATCTTAACTGTACTATGTAAAAAGCAGTGCTTAAGTTTGTGGATTGTGTATACACTGGACAACACTAAATGCTGTATATGAACATCGACATATGTATATCGCTGTCAAATAAATCAATGACATTATCAACCAGAGAGTTGGTGAGATATCCTGCAGCCTTGCTCATTTCCATCCTCACTACATATAAACATCTTTTGATATAACTATATGAAGTTCTTCTGCAAACTGGGCTGATTATAGGAATACTTCACTTGATACTCAGCCTCTTTCTATAGGGCATGCTTAGACCATCTGAGTCTTTTTTCTGCGCGCAGCACACATGCTTGGATCATGATTTATGGGATTTTCTTTATCTCACATATTAGCCTGAGGGATTTACTATCTTCAGTGAGGCTATCCAGAATTCTTTTGTTTAAATGGTGGTGTTTGACCAAAATTTACATCGACTGCATCACACTCTAATGTCTCTTGGTTAGACCAGCCTGTAGAACGAACTATACGCTGGCCATCAGCATGTTGTATGTATATTAGGCAAGTATATCTAAGGAACGGTTGATGTTTTTATGAGGATTGAGAAAGGAATGGTTTGTGTCATGGACCTACTGTGAATGATCATACGAATATGTTGGATCTGGTTCCCATGTGCATATGCTTTTTGATATCTGCCTTTGGCCAGTCAGTGTTTATCCATTGTATGATTATGTCGTGCCTTGGTTGTGAAAAATAACCTAATATCGATGTACAAAATTCTGATTATAATCAATAGCCTATCCATTTCTTTTGATCTAAATTCTCACCTGACCTTCTTGTTACTCAGAGATTATGCGGGTGTCAAACTCTGCACACAACCCTGGGTTCAGTGATTTCGATAGACATCGATTCAGAAGTCCTAGTCCAATGTCTTCACCAAATCCAAGATCCAATCTCTCTGGCAATGGGTTCAGTCCTTGGAATGGACTACACCAAGAGGTACACATTCATTCATTACATATTTATTTGTTAAGGAAGAAACAAAATATGTTTACAATCCAGTAGATCATGCTATTGCACTTCTATACTCCAAGAAGGTGCATGCTTCACTGTGGGAGTATTAGCCATTATTTTCTATAAAATGGACCCTGTAGATACACAAGTTATAGTGAACTTTTGGGTATGATATATGATACTATGATAGATTGATAATACTATGTAAATGTGGGTTTCTTTGGTGAGAAATATTGTCTGTTATTCATGTTGTGCACATTCTTCCAAATATTTTTATTTCATAAAGCAATACTGATGAATCGTTTGTGCTTGCCATTTTTAACTATTCCAAAGAGATTAGGCTTTCCTCAAGGAAACAGTATGGATTGGCAAGGAGCGCCACCAAGCCCTAGCTCTCATGTCATGAAGAAGATTCTACGCTTGGAGGTCCCAGTTGATTCTTATCCAAGTGTATGCTGCCTCTAACTTGTGCATTTTTAATTTTACACAGGATGATGCTTGATCCATTTTCGATCCCTTTGCTGATAAAGTTTTTACTTTCATGACAGTTCAATTTTGTGGGACGTATTCTAGGACCTAGAGGTAATTCTCTAAAGCGGGTAGAAGCATCTACTGGTTGTCGTGTTTTCATCAGAGGAAAGGGTTCCATCAAAGATCCTGGGAAGGTAACCAAAGTTTGCAGTGTTTGATCTGCACCCCTTAAGTTAACTTACTAGTGCTTCTTCAGTTATTTGATCATCATTACGACACATAGTTATAGCAATATAATTTTGCTTTAGCATTTTACATTTTTTCGAAGTATGCAAATTGGGTTGCATAGTAAGTTGAGTAAGTTTACTGGAATCGTCTTCCAGTTCTAGGGATCTCATCCATAACCATGTTTGGCTTTTCATAACCCTAACATTGGATTATGTGTTCTAACTTTCTCCTGGAACTCCCTACCCTTTTTCTAATCCATAATTATGTAACTGCGAGCTAATAGTTTTTCTTCATGATAACTTTACTTTTACACCGAGGTGCAATATATTTCTATTCTGTCCAGTTTACCTGCCAACTTTCTTTTTGTTCCTCATAAATTTGTTTTCCTGTTTCGCTATTTATACCTGTAGTTTCCATTGCTTGTTTTTCTGCCTCTCGGCCTTGTGTTTCTCCTACGTTGCTAAGAGCTTAAGTTTTACATATTTTCTTCTTTATTTCTTCCAGGAGGACAAGCTACGAGGAAAACCAGGCTATGAGCATCTGAGCGAACAACTTCATATCTTGATAGAGGCTGAGTTCCCAGCCAATATTATTGATGCCAGATTGAGACATGCACAGGAAATTCTAGAGGAACTGCTAAAGCCAGTGGTAAGTGATTAATGTTTCCATGTACATATTCGCTTTCTGGAGAAAGCCAATGAAATACTCAGTTATCCTTTTATGGTTTATAATACCATGAAAATTCTTTTTAATAAAATAATAATTGATAATGTGAGGAATCACGTATAAAATGTTGCTTGCACCTTCTCTAGTGCTAGTGGTTTTTTCTTGAATTTGGATTATTACCGTTATTGATCTCTCTTGATTGGTTCCCTTTATATTTTGTGGAGTACATTTTCATTTCTCATTTATTATCTGTAACTTGTGTTTACTTACAATTGCACATGCATACCATGGCTGCTTGCTTGTCCAAGAATGATTTTTTGTTTACAGACGGCTAGCACTCTGGACATGCCTCACTCACAAAGCCATGTTGGTTTCTGCTGCAGGATGAGACACAGGATATCTACAAGAGGCAACAGCTCAGGGAGCTGGCGATGCTAAACTCAACCCTGCGACAGGACAGCCCTCATCCGGGGAGCGTCTCCCCATTCAGCAACGGTGGCATGAAGCGTGCGAAAACAGGCCAGTAGGGAAGGAGCCACCCCTCATCGTTACCGGTATTGTCCAGGTGCCTTATGTGCCCCCCAATGGGGACGCCATGTCTCCGGGCAACGTTTGCCGCGGGCGCACTTGAAGGAAGCGACGCCCTGCATTTCGCTAGACGAGTCAGTATGAGTCTGCGGTCTCTCCTGCGGACAAGGAGAAACCGCTGGGACAATGGAAGTAGTAGTGGTCCTGGGCCCGTGGGTCGGCCCAGCTTTGGTTGCTGTAAGGTCCTAGAACATTCGCTTTATTTGTTAATTGACTGTTAACCCTAGTAATGTGGTGCTATGATGGTAGGTGATGCCGATGGCAGACAGACTAGAGAGGCCCGAGTATGTGAGCTTTCATGTTTTCCTTTTTCACCCCCTGTTAGGCGTCGGAACTTCCTTGTATATTATCCACCCTTCTGCATTATGGAGTCGCGGATAATAATAAAAAGGGTATAAGGATCATCAGCTTGTGCCTTGTGGAGTTGTCGTGTCTGGTTCAGACCGTGGAGGGTTCGAATCGACAATGTCGAAGTCTGGTTTTTAATGTCATCAGTGTTCATGGATCTTTGTGGTTTATATTGTTGAACTTCATGATGAATTTGTGGCAATTTTGGGTTGAGGCATGTTTGTTTGCGTCTGCTTGGCATAATGGATGGGATGCTGCTGCTGCTGCTCGGGCTCACGTGGGAGACGTTTACCGTGGTAATTCTGCATTATTGTTATTTGTAGATACAAATGTGGTAATTCTGCACTATTGTTGTTTGGAAGATACAGATGCATATATGTGCAGGAAAATGCATTCAGTGGAAAAATATCAGCCTAAGAATTTTCAAACATTGGACTAAACAAGATCTAGCTTCGTACTTGCTGGAGTGGCGTTGGCCAGCCATTTCCCCCAGCTTGAGCTTTACTTTTCCTGCGACCATGAAGGTGAATGCTGGACTTCTTCTGGCCCCAGTCACCTCAAGATCACATGCTGAATTCCCCGGAGACAAATCTTAGAATAACACAAAATAGATAGTACCCCCTCTGTAAAGAAATATAAGAGCATTCATTTCTTTATGGAGGGAGTATTTGATAGTACCGTAGTGAAAAGTTACGCATAAGTTGGAAAGACTCCAAATCTTTCTACCAAGATGAACATTGTTCCACATCCATGTGCACCAAACACAGAAGAAAAGGCTGTGTGTTTCTATATGTCAGAGTTGAAGATGAAAAGAGAATGCCTGCATTTAAGACTGCTAATATTAGAACAGCATCATATTGGAACATACAACTGGATAAAGCAAATGACAGGATTCTACTATCATAACATTACTGCCATTTAAGGTTCATACTATATATTCCACCAAGCCATTCAATAAGAGATATTGTCACGCCATGGTAGGACATGACATAAAAACAGAGCATACAAAGGCCTAACTGAAAATAACTGAATCTGGACATGGACATATCAGATAAATATCATTTAACAATACTGATGTAACTGGCAGAAGCACATTTTGTGCACATTCTGTTCTGAAGAATAATTTAAACAGTTCCCCACTAACTTTCAGACTGATCCAAGATGAAAGCTACATATCTCATTTAAGCTCTAAGGATCATCAACTTGTGCCTTAAAGGTGTTTTGTTCAGTCTCGGAACTTTCGAATTCCGCAAGTGTGTTCATGGATCGTGGCGGTTTTTACTCCCTCCGTCCCAAATTACTTGTCACAGGAATTGATGTATCTAGACGTAGTCTTAGTTCTAGATACATCCATTTTTATCCATTTCCGCGACAAGTAATTCGGAATGGAGGCAGTATTAGAGGATTACGGATTCATGACAATTTTCTGGGTTCAGGCATGTTTGCTTGTCTCTGCTTGGCATCATGGATGGGCTATGCTGGTGCACGGTACCACCTGGGCAACGTTTGCCATGGTAATGCCATATTGTTGTTTTGAAGATGAGACACATATGCAGATTTTATTTTATACCTTGAACATGCTCGGCAAAAATGAGAATCGATTGTGGATCCTGTGAAAAAGATCAGCCTAAGAAGTTTCCAAACATTTGACTGTGGGTTAGGACTGTTGAAATTTTAAGATAGATTTGTCGTGTTTGAGTAAATGCTTGACTGAAATGGTTGTATCCAGCCTTTCTTTTTGTTTCCGGCTTGCCTTTCCTGTGACCATGACAGTGAACACCGGGCACCTCAAGATCACACGCTGAATTTGCATTCATAAGCACTTGCTTTTTATTGTGACTATATATCAGATAAAGTACTACTCCCTCCGTCCCGAAATACTTGTCGGGGGAATGGATGTATCTAGACGTATTTTAGTTCTAGATACATCCATTTTTATGCATTTCTCCGACGAGTATTTCCGGACGGAGGGAGTATATATTAATGGAATAATTGTTGGATAAAACTCTGTCTGGCCAATCAAAATACTCTTTATATGGCCGGACTAAATTGGATTCCTTATTTCTAGTAGGTGTTGACAGTACCATGTAGCTGCATCTACAGAACACCAAGTGGTGATGAAAAAGTTATTGCACCGGTGCAAGCAGCTAGATTTAACTTAATCAGTTGATAAGTTGTTCAGACCTCAGACTGATCACATGAGCTTTGTTACCCAGACTTGCGAGGCAAGCAGTTTTTACACCACACAGAAATACTAGGTAACTGCCGTGGCAAAACAGTTGGGCATAAGTTGGACAAGACTGCAAATCTTTCTATCAAAATGAGTATTTTTCCACTTCCATGTGCACCAGTACAATAGAAAAGGCTGTGTGTTTCTATACATGTTAGAACTGTCAAAAAAAAAAGAGAATATCAGAACCTATGACCACACAAATTAGAACAGTATCAGATTGAAGCTACAGAACTGATGGAGCAAAGAGAATTTCAGATTGAAGCTACAGAACAGTATCAGCATGAGAGCTCACAGAGGCCTAAACTGAAAATAACTGAACCTGGACATGGAAACACTAGAAAAGTCATTTTAACACTACTGGTCTGCTCTGAAGAAGAATTCACAAAGGTGAGCACTGGAATGGTTGCTGCAATTCACAATAAACATCATGCAGTTCAGCAAATACTTGCTGGAATGGTTGTATCCACAGCTTTATTTTCGTCTGTTCCCAGCTTGAGCTTAACTTTCCTGTGACCAAAGGTGAAAACTGACATCTTATAGAGTATGGACCCGGACACCTCACGCGGTGAATTCGTATTCAGAAGAACTTAATTTTGATTGTTATTTTGTACTGTATCTCCTAAACCACATATTAATGGAATAAAAAAAGTTGGCCAAAACATGCCTGACCAATCAAAATACGCTTAATATACTGGGACTGGAGGAGTACTTACTAAATTGGATTCAGTATTTCTAGTGAATGGACCACATGTGCGGCTGTTACAGTACTACTCCCTCGGTTCGGAATTACTCGTTCAAGAAATGAATGTATCTAGATGTATTTTAGTTGTAGATACAATGATACATCCATTTTTATGACAAGTAATTCCGAACGGAGGGAGTAGACAGTACTTGTGGCTGCATAACACCAAGTAGTCATGACTAACTTACTGTACCGTCACAAACTAGTTCTGTTGATGAGATTGTTCAGTCCCTCCGATTGATGACGCGTCACACAGAAATAGGTAGGTGAAGCAAAAGCAGTTAGGCACAAGTTGGGCAGACTCCAAAGGCAGGTGTAGCAAGTCACTGAAGCTGCATCCATTCTATGGAAATGTATATAAAAGGAGAACATCTGAACTTGATGAACACACAAACAAATTAAAACAGCATCGTTCTATGGCATATCAAGTTGCTCTGTACCAGGTGATCTTCTCAAGATCATCTTTAGTATATTGATCTAACAATTATGGGGAAAACTGCCGTTTAATTCGTATACGGAAGTAGTACTTATTTTTTGGTGTGATCTCCTCATCAGTCATCACATGCATAAGCTATATAGCATAGTAAAAGCGTAACTGTTGGTCAAAACTTTGTCTGGGTAATCAAAATATGCTTCATATATCCTGACAGAGGGAGTAATTACTAAATTGGATTCTTTATTTCTAGCAAGTACTTGCAGCTGCATCAATAGTAGAACACAGCTAGTCAGAATAACCATCATGCAAGTACAAGCACGATTAGTTGTCAGATAGCCATATTGGTGACACAAGCAGAATAACCATCATACAGAAATAGGTGACTGCAGTAGCAGCACAGTTTAGGCATAAGTTCGACACAGGATCCAGCGTCGTTCCATATGCACCAACACAACAGAGAAGTTGATAAAAGGAGAACATCTGAACTTAAGAAAACCACAAATATTAGGACAGCATCAGATTGAAACGACGGTGCCACCGACTTCAGCTGCAAAACTGGATGAAACAAACTGCCAAGTTCTACTATCATAGCATTATACTGTCATCAAGATTCATACACTACCCGGGATATATAGTGACACCATGGTGACATAAAGGCTTTAACTGAAATTAACTGAATCTGGACATGGACACATCAGACAAATCATTTAACAATACTGATATAACTCGCAGAAGCACATTTGTTCTGAAGAAGAAGGATTCAAAAAGACCATCGTTCTAAAAAGAAAAGAACATCTCAAATTCTTAACTGCTACCACTTCACGGGTGATTGCCATACTTTTCCCCACTAACTTTCATATCAAACCAAGATGAAAGCTACATATCTCGTTTAAGGTATAAGGATCATCAGCTAGCTTGTACCTTAAGGTGTTTGGTTCGCTCTCGGACCTTTCGAATTGACAATGTAGCAACCCAGTTCTTAATGTTGTAAGTGTTTGTGGATCGTGGCAGTTTATATTTAGAGGACTGTATGTCTGTATGAGTTCATGACAATTTTGGGTCCAGGCATGTTTGTTTGTCTCAGGTTGGCATCATAGATGGGATATGCTGCTGCGGGAAATCACCTGGGCGACGTTTGCCATGGTAATGCCGTATTGTTGTTTCGAAGATAGAGACACAT